ATTTAGCACGCATTGAACAACTATAGTACACATTTCCAAAACTACTTCCATACCTCAGTCCCAGAGACAAACAGAGATCTCAGTATCAAACTTCGGGATTACAGCTCTATCTCTTCACTCAATACCCGATTTTGTACCAGTTAGTAGCATGTCCATATCTTAACAAAATACACCAGCAGTAAATCTATATCAAATTTTAGCGCTATTCCTTCACTCAATACCAAATTTAGTACCGTTTAGTACTTCTCGTGCAATTAAAGTACACTTTTCAAAACTACCTACGATCCCTACCCAGTCCCAGATACCATGAGAGTATTCTGTTTTCAAATTTCGGGATTCCAGCTTCATCCCTTTACCTAATACAAAATTGAGTTCAATTCGTACTTTTAAAAGAACTATAGTACACATTTTCAAACCGAAACTCCAGATCTCCACCTTAGATACCAACAGTTATCTCAATATAAAATTTCATAATTTTATCTCTATGCCTTCTTCCAATAACACATTTAATACTATACTATATACTATAACACATTTCCAGAAGCACCTCCATATCTCAACCACAGCCATTAACAGTAACATCCATATCAAATTTCAGGATTTCAGCTCTAACAATACCAAATTTAGTACTGGGAGTCGATTTTCAAAAAAATCGGTTTCAATATATAGCTCAAGTTTCCATACATATGTTACATTCGATTTTATATTCAAGTTCGCCAAAGTCATAAATATGTGCTTCATAATAATTGTATTTTCGTACCAGATAACAGATACAGCCTCAAAGTAGATTTGCAAATTTTGACGAAATCGGTTCAGTTTTGAATGTAGTCATTCCACGTTTCTTCATAAATGGTAAAGACCGCCCGTCGTAGTCTTCAGTTAATAACGATAAAAATTGGAATATTTGTTTCGGGTAGTTCTATTAAATATGCATGGTGGTCGGCCCTGCCTAACTGTTGCCCTTTCTTTATAAAGATTCATTTTTCTCTATTGGGTTTATTTGAAAGAGGAACCAATAGAACGATTTATTCAACAGTATTTCCTCCGATCTTTAAGCATTATGGACGTGATATTTAAAATTTAAGCTTTACCCAGAACTTAATAACTCAACTAGTTAAAATTAACATCCCAATTAACGAAATATAGAGGTCGATTACTACAAGGCTCTGACCGAAGTTTTCCCTCGTTCGTTTTAAATAACTCCAGTGGTCAATATTCCAACTAATGCAGGTGATGTTAGATATAAACCTAATTTTGCAACTCATATCCCGCAAACTGGAAATCTTCGGCAATTTTCCCACAACATTTGCTCCACGAGAAATAATTACGTTAGGAACTAATCCACTCACAAATCTGGCGCTACATGTCGGTATCAAACAAATGTTTTGCGGTAGATAAATGGCATTGACTTGATAAGGACTTTCTCTCTCTCCCTCTCTCTATCACTGAGTGTGGTTGGTGTTAGCCCATATCACAAAGCAATTCCAAGGAATCATCAATTTCAAAATTGGAAGCGTTCTCAAAAAAAGTAATCAGACAACCTGAAACAAATCACTTCGGCAGGATATAAAAGAAGCAAAGACATAAGGATGATGTGTGAACACTAAACATGAATGAATGAGCGAACGCCACATGAGGTGCTGCTCCAGGTTGCTCTGGATTGTTTCAAACGAAATGAAACATTAATTTTATAGAAGCGGCAAAATATCCAAGAAACCGGAGAATAAAAAAGAACACACAAAACAAGTGAGCGCCGGATTAAGATTGCTTCCGCTCTGCCAAAGAATACTCCGCCCCTTCCCCTTCCAATGAAGAGAGAATGTTGCAGTAGTGGTGGTGGTGATGTAGTTCTTGTTTTGCCCAATATCATGTCGGTCCAAAAGAAAGAGACAAGCACAGCACTCACTGCGGGATATTTTGTTCTTTGTTGTTTTTTTATCTTTACTCTATTTCCTACTCCCGGCTGGCTACTCATACGCATGCCTTGCTCATTCTCCCATTTGCCAGAGATACTCACTCACCCCTTGTCAGAATGTGTGGATGGTTGGATGGATGGATGGATGAATTGTTGGTTGGTTGGCTACATTGTTTGAAGGGTGCTTTTGTGGTGTTCTAATAACTTCCTTTTTCTGAAAAGAAAAGAATTATTGGAACCAGAAACAAAAGAGTTGTGAACGAGAATGGTTGTTCTTCAAACGACAACGACAACATCAACGGCAGAGGTAAAAAATCTTAAAAAAACAACAACCGCCAACTGGCAATACGTCTTTTTTTACACCATCGAAAAAACAAAAACAAAGGGAAATAAAGAACTAATGAATAAAACAACAAAGAACAATTGGACAAAATTAAATAAATCAAATTAAAAAATAAAATAAAAATGAAAAGAAATTGATTTGGGTTTGCTTCGTGAATATTGTGTGTGTGCGCCAGCCAAAGTGGTGTGAGTGATGATGTGAAGCCTAAGAATAGTGACCAGAATTTGTGAATTTCTGCGAATCGAGTTAATTAAGAAACCATTTAGAAGAAAAGCAATTTTGAAAACAAAAGACTGCGAGTGTGTGTTTCTCAATAGTAATCATCACGTGAGAAAATGTGGAAGTAATAAAACAAAGGTGTGGAACATTGAAAGAGGAAGTTATCCAATTATCGAAAAGCTAGAGTGGCAAACTTAAAATTTGTCAATACAAATGTAAAATATTTGAAGTAAAGAACGAAGCTGACTATAAATAAAGTAATAAAAAAAGAGATGTATTGAACTTGAAGAAGTTGTCCCATTTTTTTTTTTAATAAAAAATGTGAATTAAATTTAAAACTCAATTTTCATGTTATGTTGCAGTTGCTAGACTTAGACCACATATTCCACGATCCAATTTATATTTTTATACCCTCCACCTTGAAAAGGAGGGTATATTTACTTTGTCATTCCATTTGTAACATCCCTAAATATTTGTCGAAGACCCCATAAAATAAATACATTCATATTCAGCATAAAATTCTAAGTCGATTTGACGACGTCCGTCCGTCTCTCTATTGAAATCACGATACAGCCCACATTTTTTGACGTAGAGCTTCAACATTTGGTAGAACAACATGTATTGTGTCTTGGATGTTTGGTATTGAAAAATATATCAGTCCACGTCTTGTTATAGCTCTGATATAACAGTACCTCCCGATATTCGGTATTTTTATGATTTTCCCCAAATTTTTCCACAGATTTGTCCAGAAATCGGTATTTGTAGTTCGTAATGGGTTCTAGCCCCTGTGGCAGAACATACTCGTAGTATGAATAGATCCACGTTTTCGTATAGACAAACCCCACCCCCCCCCCCCCTACTTGTGCCACCGGATATTCAGTACTTTAATGATTTTGCCACATTTTTCCACGGATTTGTCCAGAAATTGGTATTTGTAATTCGTAATGGGTTCTAACTCCGGTGGTAGAACATTGAATATTTAGGTCCACGTTTTGGAATAATCCCTCTTATAACGGTACCTCCCGAAATTTGGCGTTGTGATGATTTTAGCCACATTCTTCCACCGATTTGTCTAAGAATTAGTATTTGTAGTTTATAATGGATTCTAGCTCCGGTGACAGAACATTGAATATTTAGGTGCACGTTTTCCTATAGCGCAGAGACAAGGATACCCACCGATATTCAAAATTTTTATAATAATTGTCACATTTACCCACAAAGATATTTCAAATTTTGTATTTAAGAAGATTTGGTAGATTACAGCCCTGGAAGTATAAAATTGTCGATACAGATATCCGTTTTGGTATGGACCCCAATATAACGGCCTCACCCACATTACAGCGAAGCGCTTGCTTGAGGTGATCGACACTTTGGTATTTTCTAGTGCCAACCTTGCTTTCCAAAATACTCCAGACACAATAGTCCAACGGATTGGCATATTTTGGTGGCCATTGTGCGCTGGAAATGAAGAAACGAAGAAACGAGGAACCTCATTTTGTAACCATTCTCGGGTGGTGCCTGCTGAGTGTGATGGTGCTGAGTCCTGTTGGGATGTCCAAGGTCTGGGGCCAAAATGTTTGCGTGCCCAAGGCTTTAATACACCCTCCAGAATATTTTCGCCATAATATTCGGCATTTAATACGAACGGAGAGCGACCATCGGCTGTTACGGCGGCCCACCCCATCATCATGGTCGGCGCTTGAGTTCTGGTGGCAAACCGAAGGTGCACATTTTCAGCTGACCTCTTTGTCAAGTAAACACGATCATTTTGTTGGTTTACAAACTGCAGGACAACGAATGTTTTCTCATCGGAGAAAACCAAATTCGGCTTTTCACCACTTTCGGCCAGGCGAAGCAACTCATTTGCTCTTTGAGTTTATTTTCTTTCTGTTGCGGTGTAAGTTCTTGCACTTTTTGGAATTGCTATGGCTTTACCCCGAGCTCATTTTTCAAAATTTGCCGATTGGAATATTGCGATATGTTCAGCTCACGAACTTTACTTTACTTTTCTACTCTTTTTTACTTTACTACTCGAACCATTTCTGCGAATGTTGCTGTTTTCCTCCGTCCACTTCCTTGACGTCGGGCTACGCTGCCTGTATCCCGGTAACGAGTGATTGTACGAGACACAAACGATTTATTCACATTTAAATGCTGGTGGTGGTCACACCAAGAAATCACACGATCACGCTTGAATTCCATCACGAATAACTTTTTTTCTATGAAATTCTCACCAAAATGCTTTTGTACGCTTGTAAACAATATAATGAGCTGTGACTGGAATAATTTTAACAGCACCCTGTAAATATTCGACCCTGAGATGCTATTAATACGAAATACGTCCTTAATCAAAGGCGAAACGCGTCACGCATTCTGTATATCACCTCCACTTGACCTTATCTTTTTATGTCAGAAATGTAATTAAAAGAGCTATTCAAAATATCTGTTATTTCCAAAATTTTCTTTTTTAAGCTTTTTAAGAAAAAAAATTCTCATTTCTTTTTTTACTCTCCCTCTTTGCAGGATCACCCCAGTTTGAGGGGCACCCCATTGGCCATGTTGGCAGCACAGTGCAATAAATTGAGCAGTAAGTCACCACCACCATTGGCCGATGCTGCTGTGGGCAAGGGATTTCATCCGTGGAAGAAAAGCCCAACATCGCCCAATCATCATCATCACCATTCGCAAACGAATAATTCAAATAATAATAACAATAATAATAACAACAACAATAACACTTCAACAGGTTCGAACAGTTCAAATGCTTCGGTGGGACAACATTCACCCTGTGCTATATCATCGTCGGCATCGTCGACCAACTCGTCGTCGGGAACCTCGGTGGCAAATCATTCATCCGGCCTTGGCATTTCATCTTCGGCTGGTAATTCATTGACCTCAAGAAGTCTGGCCGGCAGTGGTATTAATACCATGGTCAACATAACAGCAAGGTAGGTTGGAATCAAAAGAAATTTTGAATAATAAAATCTCTTCCTGTAGTTCTAGTCGAATTCTCTTATGTTTGAGCGTATTTCATTGATAAAGAAAATAATTTCAGCATTTATCCTTACAGTCGACCCATCACCTCATCCTGTGCTGCTGTCACCACACCCTCGGCCTATGGCAGTGATCTCTTCTATCCGAATTCGACGACCACAACTGGTGGCATGGTGGGCGACAATCATCACATGCATCAGGGCCTCTTGGGCAAAGTGGAGGGAGCCACCTTTGGTTCGGTGTACTCACGCCACCCATACGATTGGCCCTTCAATGCCGTCACAGCCCAGGCGCACAAGGCAGCTGAGGCGGCCAGTGTCAACAGCGGTTGGTGGGATATGCATAGCGCTGCAGCTGCGGGCAGCTGGTTGGATATGGGCGGTGCTGCTGGCATGCACTCAACCATGGCTAATTATGCAACGGCTAGCTCAGATTACTCGTCGGCTTTGAGTCACTCGCTGTCGAATACGGCTCATTTGTTGGGTTCGGGTCAACATTTGCTGCAGGACACATATAAGAGTATGCTGCCCAGTCAGGGGGTGGGTGGTTTCTCACTGCCCCATAGCTCGCCCTCGGCAGCATCAACGGCCTCCACACCCCAATCATCATCGCCCACAACGCCATCGTCTAGATCTCAGAGGCGTTATGCTGGTCGTGCCACCTGTGATTGTCCCAATTGTCAAGAGGCCGAGCGGCTCGGCCCAGCTGGGGTACATTTGAGAAAGAAAAACATCCACTCCTGTCACATACCCGGATGTGGTAAGGTCTATGGTAAGACATCCCATTTGAAGGCCCATTTACGGTGGCATACCGGCGAAAGGCCATTTGTGTGCAACTGGCTGTTTTGTGGTAAACGTTTTACCCGTTCCGATGAATTGCAAAGGCACCTGAGAACCCATACAGGGGAGAAGCGATTTGCCTGTCCCGTTTGCAATAAACGTTTTATGCGCAGTGATCACCTGGCTAAACATGTCAAGACCCATAATGGCACTGGAACTGGTATTAAGAAGGGATCCTCAGAATCCTGCAGCGACTCGGAAGAACCTAACAATCAATCTGGCGATTCAAATGGTTTGAATTCATCTGTGAATAATGGCAATTCGGGCAGCAATAGTCATCCGGGTACACCCAACTCTTTGACATCGGGAGGTACTCCAACCCAAAATCATGGTCAGGGTTTGCATATGTCTCCGCATCATCATATGTCGAGTGGTTCACCGGTAATGCTTAGTCATCAGCAGCATCAGCAGTTACAGCAACAACATCAGCAGCAGCAACAACAACAACAGCAGCAACATCAACAAGCCCAACAGCACCATTTACATCAGCAGCAGCAACAACAACAACAACAACAGCAGCAGCAGCAACAACAGCAAACTCATCCTCACGCCCACATGCATGCCCACACCCATCATCACCATCACCACTTGTTGGGCTCCAATTCGGCAACATCCAGCCCCGTGCTGGATCACCACAGCACCCTGGTTGACATTAAGCCCCCAATGGTTTGAGGGTCACTGGGACCCTTTCTGTTCGGTAACTGAACGGAAATGGGCTCCTACATCAAGGATTTCATACAAACTCTAGCGTTATTCGATGACATGGTGTAAAATTGGCCGCCAGGGAAAGAGGGAGGAAGGAAGATATCTGGGAGAAATGGAAGGCTTTGTAAATTTTATTTCGAAAAGAATTTAGATGACTAATCTTTTTAATCATTATATTTTATAAAATAAAAAAAATATTGCACAAATTTTACTTAATTTTATGTCTAGTAAGAATAAAAAAAACAGATAAGAAAGTAAAACAACCCATAATTAATTTATGTAATTGATTCAAAACACACCCACAAACATTTTTTTGTAAATAGTACTATAGATATTTTAAACAATTTTTGAAAATCTTAAAATATAAAAATAAAATAAAAACAATTAAAAATAGTAGAAAAATATGAAAACAAATATCTCACTGTAAAATATATTTCAAATGGAAAGGGTTGCCCAGGGAAGAGGCGAAAAAAATGCGCCCAGACAATTTTGGAATGAAAAATGTTCTTAAATGGACCCCAGTAAAGTAAAAGCACTACATCAAAACAATATGGGATATCCTACACCACTATAACATGCGTTAAAATGTCCATACATCTGAAACTCTTGTGACCCTAGATAAGGAACACATAATTGGACTACTCATAAAATCATTGCAAATATCAAGGTTTATTGCTTGATTTTCGATTGTTTGGGATAAAAAAAATCATGCATTAACTCCCAATTCCCGTACCACCGTTCGAACATTCCTCATAAACCAATATTATCCAGAAAACCTCGTTCTCTGGAAGATCATTTCATTTTTTCATGTATGTCTATTTTTTGGATACATTTTATTCTTGAAATACTATTATGCAAAGGGGTTTTGACCGGAACAAAAGTTGCAATATATTAACGCCCCCTGTAGTGATAATTAAAATTCAAAACAATATTTGAAAATTACGATTTCTATATATATTTTCCCATATGCCATGTAAACGAATCAGCACAGGTTACAAGTGGCGAATTAATTTATTTATGTTTTCGCCAGGATATGACTTTCATCATAATTTCACCTGCTAAATATTAGCCAATGACCATTTAAAACTGTATGCTTCTGCCTTGTCCGAAAATCTAATCCCACACAGAATTCAGATATTAATATTTTGCGGTCATCATCAAAAATGGTAGTCTCATATTTTCCCCCCTAGCCTTCTGCACAGAGTGGTGTAAGTCAGGGACGTATGCCGTTGCGGGAGCCAGGACCGATCCGAAAAGGTCTTCTTAATATCTGCACCCTCGGAAATATTTTCAAAATACATTTCTGTATATGTCTCTGATATAGGATATAATTAGTCAGTAGTTTAAAAATGTAGTGATTTCAATACGAAGAAACCTCTTTGGATTTTTATATTGTCCACCATAGTATGGAGGGTATATTAAGTTTGTCATTCCGTTTGTAATACATTTTAGACGCCACAAAATATATATATTCTTGATCAGCATAAAATGCTATGTCGATTTAGCGAATTCCCTCCGTCTGTCCGTCTGTGGAAATCACTCTAGCTTCTGAACAAATTTAAGTAGGTTTATAAAATTTTACTCAAATGTATATTATGTCTCCAGGACTTTTGGTATTGAAAATGGGTCACGTAGGTCCACGTTATGGTATAGCCCCCATATAATGATACCTCCCTATTTTCAGTATTTTGGTGATGTAGGCGACATTATTAACCATAAATGTTTCAAATTTGGTATTTAAAGTTCGTAATGGATACTACAGCCTATGAGAGAAAATTGTCTGTGCAGGTCCACGCCTTCGTATAGCCCACATATAATGGCACATCCGGATATTCGGTATTTTGATGATTTTAGCGACATTATTCACCGCTTTTTTGTCAAGCTTCGCATTTGAATATTGTAATGGCTTACGACAAAAAATGCCTGCAGGTCCACGTCGTCGTATAAACCCTAATATAATGGCTTTATTCGGTATTTTTAAGATTTTAGGAGAATTTTTAACGGATTGCTACATTTCAGGCACAATAACCCCAAACCAGTTGAAGATGTGATAACGTTTGATTTCAATGGGCAGCACTGCGTGACACACAACCGAAATTACACTCGATATTAAAAAAAAAAATAAATAAATAATAATAAATTAATAAATAAAAAAAAAAAATAAAAAAGTTACAGAAAGGCAATTTTAAAATATATTTCTTTAAATACCTGCATATATGAAATTTTGATTTTTTCTTTCGGCTTATCAACACTTTTTTATATCTTCAGCCTTGAGGCTAAGCCGAGAATACATCATCATTTGATATGTCCAATATGTGCCGCATCGAAATAACAGTTTTATATCCTGATCTCGTTGTTCGAAATCTACGGTTTTAGATCCTATGTCTCTTTGGACGGAATCGTAATACGTTTATAAAACTTAGACCGGGCTCAGATGTATTGACCTACACTTTCTTATACCTCCCAAAGAAGTTTCAAATGTTTGCAAAAAATATCAAATCTTACATTAAGGGAAGGGAATGCTCGATAATGTTCAGTTTGACACATCGAATTGCATATATTGGACCATTCCTTCTAGTCCCACTCTTACACGGCGTACAATTTTTCAAAAATAATATCCTTTTTAATAAGCAACATCGACTTAGGAATATTTAGAAAATTCCAAAATATTGGCGTGGAAATCGAATATATTGTTCCAATCTTTCAGCTACCCCCCCAAAAGAATTAAAAAAATTGACAATCATTTTGGGCAAATAGAGTGTTCGATGGAATTCAAGTTAGACACAAAGTTATATTTATATCAGATATATGTCAGGATCAACAATTTTAATATTGGCCCACTTATTCTTGGGTCAAAATTTCGAATAATGATATCACCCTTAAAATTGGAACTCCATGACCAATTTTCTTTAATCACAATATTTGTTGGTCTATAATGGAGCTATATAACGGTCAAATCCTTTTAGATCTTTTCCCCAAAAATAACAGAAAATTAGGTAAAAATCTTACTTATATTTCATATAAAATGAATCGAGTAGCCTATATAGTCCAGACTTGGTCGGTGGTAATATTTATATCAAACTTAGAGCGATCGTGTCAAAATTACTTAAAAATAGGTAAAAATCGTACTTATATTTCATATAAAACGAATCGAGTACCCTATATAGTCCAGACTTTGTAAGAGATATTATTTATATCAAACTTAGATCAATCATGCAAATAAAATTTCCCCAATTTATAAAACGAATCGGGCACCCGTCTGTCTGGACTATAAACTTAATTGGTGGTAAATTTATATCAAACTTAGATCAGAAGCGATCATGGCAAAAAAAAAAAAAATTTCCAACTTTTTCAAACTTCCTACATTTAAAAGTGTGACATTAGATCTAATGTAAAGTAGGGATAAGTAGGTCCAACATTTTGGTACATCTTTCAAAAAGGTGGGTAAATACTGACGATGTATATCTTTCGTAATACGAACTAAAATTTGACATATGGCTTGTGTGAATGTGAGTTTTATCAGTCCCAAATAACTTGGTTCTTTGAAATTTTCAATATTTTTTTTCAGAATTTAAGAAAGTAGGGGTACGTGAAAGAGGACATGTACTTATTTATGAATAAAAACATTCTATTAAGAATTTCATATAAGTTATTACTTAATTTTTTTAGATGAAAAGATATAGTTTATTTGGGTTCAAATATTCTAAGCCTTTTTATATCGGCATTTTTGGGCAGCCTTTTTGATGGTACGGAACATTTTACTGTAATATACATCATTGTATTTAATCTTACTTATAGTACAACTTTACAACGCCGTAGTACGCTATATATTAATATTCTTGAAGAATTTTCTGTTTTCACATGACTACTAGACCAAAAATTTAATCAAAAATAAGGACAGGAACAGTAATAATTTTGTTTTGCAATAGATGGAGGTGGGATTGATATTTTATGCACATTTCAAAAACATTACTACATTTTTGCCTTTAATGAGTTAGAGGTTAGAGGCTGAGGAGAACTGCTTGAGTCTTTGTCACATAAAATTTTTGAATTGAGTCTACTCCTCCTTAGAAGACTTTCTATTAACAACATTCGCAAATTCATTAAAAAATATTTTTGAAGTAATAATTATGAAGATAATATTCCTTGAGCATTTGTTAATGTGGGTCATAAATGTGGAAGAAAAGAAATTATCTCCAATTAGCTATGAAAATGCAACTTTACAAATAAATTTTAATTTCCCCGATTAGAGATATACGCAACCCTTTCCATATAACACATACATAGAAATAGAATATAATTGATAACAAATGAGCTTTGGTCTTTTTTATCACCTCTAAAGAAACACAAAATAACAAACTAAGATAAATAATCATTATACTTCTTCAAAAACCAATTAATTAAATAAAAAAATATTTCTAGTCGTCTAAAAAGAATTCTGTGTAAATTTTACAAAAATAAAATACTAAATAAACAACCTAACAATTTTCCCCCCTTTAATAAGGTATATTTTTAATCAAATGATATTTTTGCAAAAGTATATTAGGAATAGATTAATATTTGTTATTCAATTAGCCTGAAGTAAATTTTAAATAATATCTTAAATGTGGAAGTACCAAAATAATTATTAATTTTAATTTAATTATTAATGTTAAAACAAAAAAAATAAAAATAAGAATTAACCGAATAAGCGCTATACAAATTGTATGAATTAATTATTAACTAACTACTAATTAGTTTAATAAAAAAAAAAACAAAAACATTTAATGCTAATTCTTAAACATTTTTGCAAATATGTAAAATTTATAGTTTATAGTCTTATTCTAAATGTAATAATTAAAAATAATGCAAATGAATTTTATTATTATAAATAAATGTGAATTACAACAAATATTTTAAATTGTCGTGTTTCATTAATTTGAAAAGGTCAACATGGAGGTGAATATTTTTAATTATGTATCAAAGACGTGAAAAATGAGGATTGTTGTTTAAAAACTAATTTTCGGAGTCGAAGAAACTAAGAAGGGCGTGCATAAAGACAGAATATGAACTTTTCCCGAGAGGACGGTTCCCCAGTGCCCACCCCCTTCCCTGCTCAAATATAGCATCAATTTGTCAGTGACTCTGATACTGTATAAAAGCGTCATTTATAGCTCCTTAAGACCTCCTAATATTTCTTAAATTTTTCGTTACAATTTCCTTCTTTTCATCACAATGTCTACCACCACACCCCTTCTCCTACCTAAAAAAGCAATTTTTGTTATGATAGTCTTTAGAATATGGACGATTGCAGTTCTGATAATCCTTAGAGTACTCGCGATTACTGTCTGAGAGTCTTAAAATATCTCACAGCATAGACTTAGGGGTCCTTAAAACAGTCATGGTAATGGTCATGATATTTCTTAAAATATTTA